AGAGGTGCATTCCTCAAAATAGTTAAAGCCATATACTACAAGCCAACAGCAAGCATCATCCTCAAAGGGGAAAAACTGAGAACCTTCCTTCTAAGATCAGGGATGAGACAAGGATGCAGATGATATGATACTATACTTAGAGAACCCTAAAACCTCTAACAAGAAACTCCTAGAAACAACAGACTTGTATAGTAAAGCTGCAGACTATAAAATCAATAGTCAAGAGTCCATGGCTTTCCTATGCGCAAATAGTGAGAGAAAAGAAAGTGACATAAAAAAAAAACCCTGTTTACAATTCTGCCCCAGAAAATCAACTACCTAGGAATTAGCTTAACTAAGGAAGTAAAAGACCTGTACAAAGAAAACTACAAAACACTACTACAGGAAATAAAAGAGGACATGAGAAAATGGAAACATATTCCCTGCTCATGGATCAGGAGAATTAACACTGTCAAAATGGCAATACTTCCCAAAGCACTGTATAAATTCAAAGCAATCCCTATTAGGATACCCATGACATTCTTCAAAGAAGTGGAGCAAACACTCCTCAAATTTATATGGAACAATAAGCCCCCACAAATAGCTAAAGCAATTCTTGGGAAAAAGAAAATGGGAGGAATCAACCTCCCTAACTTCAAACTCTACTACAAGGCAGTAATAATTAAAACAGCATGGTACTGGAACAAAGGCAGAGCTGTAGACCAAAGGAACAGGGTTGAATATACTGACATCTCCCCCCAAGCATACGAGCATCTAATTTTCGATAAGGGGGCAAGAAAAGTGAAGTGGAGCAAGGAAAGCCTCTTTAACAAATTATGCTGGCAAAACTGGACAGCTCCACGCAAAACAATGGTCTCAGATCTCTGCCTAACATCATGTACAAAAGTAAGATCAAAATGGATTAAAGACCTCAACATCAGATTGGAATCCATAAGGTACATTGAAGACAAAATTGGCAAAGCCCTCCATGACATTGAAGCTAGTGATATCTTCAAAAATGTCTTGCCACTGGCCAAGCAAATGAAAACAGAGATAGACAAATGGGACTATCTTAAATTAAGAAGCTTCTGCACCTCAAAAGAAACAGTGACCAAAATACAAAGACAGTCTACAGAATGGGTAAGGATATTCACCCAATACACATCCGACAAGGGGTTGATAACAAGGATATACAAAGTACTGGTTGAACTCCACAAGAAGAAAACATCCAACCCCATCAAAAATGGGATGTCAAAATGAACAGAAACTTTCTCAAAGAAGAAATGCGAATGGCTAAAAAACACATGAGAAAATGCTCTACATCATTAATCATCGGGGAGATGCAGATCAAAACAACAATGAGATATCGTTTCACACCACAGAGACTGGCCCACATTCACAAGAAAAAAAGCAACTGGTGCTGGCGCGGATGTGGCAAGAAAGGGACCCTCCTCATTGCTGGTGGGGATGCCAAATGGTTCAGCCCTTTTGGAAAACAGTATGGACAATTCTCCAAAAATTAGAAATTGAGCTTTCATTTGACACAACAGTAGCACTCCTGGAAATATATCCCAGAGAGGCAAAAAAGTATAGTTGAATTGACATCTACACTTGTTTGTTCATTGCAGCACTGATTACAATAGGCAGAATCTGGAAAAAAAAACCCTGAGTGCCCAAGAACAGAGGAATGGTTAAAGAAATTTTGGTACACCTACACAATGAAGCTACGTAGCTGTTAGAAAAGATGAAGTCATGAAATTTACATACAAGCGGTACTACATGGAAAGAATCATAAGTGAAATGAGTCAGAAAGAGAGAGACAGACATAAAAGACTGCATTCATCTGGGGAACATAAAGTAACAAAATAGACTAACACCCAAGAACAGCTGAGATAAGTACCAAAGGGTTTACTCTATGGCTGGAGGCCAGCTGCACACGTTAGGGGAAAAGGTAGCTCAGATAGAGGAGGGAGCACAAAATTAAGGTTGTTGGGAGGATCCTCCCAGAATGGGAGATGCATGCTGAAAGTAGACTATAGACCGAACATGATTGCCACTCAATGATTCTTTTGCAAACCACAGCACCCAATAGGAGAGAGAGAACAAAAGGGAATGCCCTGTCACAGAGGCAGAGTGGGATGGGGGTACGGGGGGGTGGGATGGATACTGGGATTATTGGTGGTGGAGAATGGGCACTGGTGGAAAGATGAGTACTCAATCATTGTATAACTGAAGCCCAAGCACTAATAAAAATTAAAACAAAAAAAAATAGACACCTGCCTTGAATGTGGCTCACCTCAGTTTGATCTCTGATACACATATTGCCCCCCAAAGAGCACCAGAATTTACCTGAGCCCTGAGCAAGGCGCCAGGAATGGCCTCTGAGTACGTCAGGATTCAACAATAACCCACTCCTACCCAAATTAGGGTGCTTCTTTTTCCAAAGCACATTTTTTCCTTGAGAAGCACATATGTACAGCACCACTTCACATACTTAAGGGGATAAAAACCTACTACACTGCTCTCCAATGATTCCAACACCATTGTTGTGGGGGACCCATACATGATCCTGATCATTGGTCTTGGGCTCTAGCCAGACCTGTTTATGGCTGGGTAAACGGAGAATGTTATTCCATCTCATAGCTTTGCTTTCCTTTGAACAAATGTCAATATACAAGATCCATCTCCAGGACTCATCTCAACAGCAGTCTATTGTCAAGGAGGAGGAGAACACAGGAAATCTACACTTGTGCTTGGGTGGATTGAAGGGCTTTCAGGAGAAGTCTACAGGCATGGCATTGTGGGTGCTCTGGAGTCAGTCATTTGGGACAGTAACTGCTCAATAGAAAAGAGAAATAATGGTCTTGAAGTCTCCTTGCCTGCTTCCTGTTTGCCAAAGACCCATGACTACCTGCAGGAAGTTTAAATGAAATGTATCAAAGGTGTTCTATCTGAATAGACTTTCTAAGCCCAAATGCAGGTATTGTTTGCAACTTAAACAATTTAAACTAATCACTTTTTAGCAAATAAGTGATTTCAAAATGTCATAGAACGAGTTTGCTTGTACAGCATCCTCCCTGATCACATTCCAAAGAAAAAGAACAAGTCAAAAGGTGCCTTCTTATTGTATCATCATACTTATCATTGAAAAACTCTATTTTAGCCCTGACGTACTTAACTCTTTTCTTTTTTTTTTTGATTGTTTCTCAGAGAACTCTTGGTCATAATAAGTCTGAGGAGTTTTTTAAAAGACAAAACGTTTTAAAGTGATAGTTTTAAGTGATTTTCTTTTAACCTAAGTCAACTTGGCTTTATTTCTATACAAAAGGAATTTTTTTATTTGACTAAACCAAAAGATTGAAAGAATAACAACAATTAAATTATTAGGTAGAAACATACCAGCTTCATTTTAAATTCAAAGTCATAGGAAGTTCAGTTTCTTACAATTCAAATAACTACCAGTTTCTGTCAAAATTCTCTCTGGAAAATGTTTTCTGAAGAGGCTGGAAGCCTTCAAAATCCAAGTTATTCAATTTTACAGTTCCACATATTGACTTTTATATCACACCTTATATTTAAGCTATTAACTATTCCCCAAATCATGCAATCTATGCCACTTAAATAAACAAACTATTCAAAACAAACTTAAATGCCAACAAAACTCCTGTTTTTCAATTTTTTTTAGTTGGCCACACTTACTCTTTGTGGTTTTCTTTTCTTTTTTTTTTTTTTGTATGTTTTAGCAGTAAGACTCAAGCGCAAATACAGTTACCATTAGCATTTCTTAAAAACATCACCACCACCATCAATAATAAAAACCTCTCCAAGTTCAGCTGAGTCTCTTGATTCTTCCTTCTGGTCTATTCTGCATCCCATCCCCATCTTGACTAAGTTTTACTATAAAAGTATAACCCAGGATTGCATGTCAGTATGAGTACTTTATGTAAGCAAAACCCTGAGTATTAGCTCTGAACTTCAGTGATTATATATTAAATTGAAAATTTTCAAATTAGGTTGTGTTTTTGTAACCATAAATTTTTACATAAGGTGCATCATTTATATCTAATTTTTATCTCTTCCTATCAAATAAAACCTGAGGTCAGTGAAAGAGAGCTCAGAGTTCACATATTAAAATATGATTTCACAATTAAGAGTGATGTACTCAGAACATCATATTTAATGATTAACGTAGAACTTTGCTCTGAGAGAACAATGATAAAGATCAGTTCTATACATCACTCAACATGTTTGATGCTATGCAACAGCACCCCAAAACTGATCCTAGCACTACTCTATACATGCTCCATATCATAATTTAGGGGAAACCAGGAGTCTGCAGCAAACAGAGCTTGGGATCACTGGGAGAGGAAATCTGGCCCATATCCCTAACACCACCATTAGAGCTAGAAATCAGGTAAAACTCTCCCAATCAGCTTCATATAACACTGTCCTCCCGTTGTTCATCGATTTGCTCAAGCGGGCCCAATAATGTCTTCAAACGAGGAGTATCAGCTTCATAGACAATGACAAACTTGCAAGGTAGCTGCAATACTTTCTGAGATAATGAATTAATTATTCATTCAACACTTACTACTGGGACCTGCACTGGGTAAAAATGTGAATGCACAAGGCTCCACTTTTACTTCTGTTAATGTGGGGACCATCACAATGCTCTGATGAGTAGCCTTGAGGCATTCTTGTGTGTCTCTGTGTTTTTTTAATTCAGTATTGGTCTTTATCATCTTGTTGAGGATTAAAGCATCCAGGAAGGCATATCTCCTAAAACCACAACAACCCATCCTGTAAGCCAAAGTACCTCTGAACAAATTGTGCTTCATGAATCCTTAGAAATACCAAATAGATTTTAGGGGACTATGAATTGAATTTCAGATACCAGTGTTTCCATAAGCCAAAATAAGCCCAAATAAGCTGACAATAAGCTAAAAGATGTACAGCCTACCTACCAAAATCACTTCCCCGAGAGTTATCTGGATTGATAGGGAATATTAAGGGAAACCTACCTCTTTCAAACTGTAGCTTTTTATATCGTTGCATAATTTCAGCCGCCACCATGCACTCAATCTGAGGAAGAAAACAAGCAATGCATATAAGATTCTGAAACTCACAGAACAAGACCATAATAGACAATCAAGACATGGCAAGAAAATGATCAGTGCATGCTTTCACACATAAAACTCCCATTTCTCCAACTCCACATGCCTCATTCTCCTGCAGGTGACCCTGCTTGGGGCAAGCAGCATCAGGGCAGCTAATTGCAGTCTCTAATCCTTCTTTGATCAAGAGCTCGACATACTGTTTCAGGCACTGAAAGAAAACAGAGAAGTATCTGTAAATATCTTTACTTTCTAAGGTTCAAGTAGCAGTAGAGTACAAAAAAGTTATGAACCAGGGACATTGCTCCTTGATGATTTTGAATTTTCACTGTGAAATCCATGGAAAACATCAAATTAGAGGTTTAATTCACTCAACAAATATTTATGAGGTACATCTTCTATGTCAGGATCTGTATGTTGGTTTAGAAAGGAAAGACTGCAGGTGAATCCCTGTGCACAAGCTCAGGAAAATACAAAAGCCAGTTGGTCTGACAGTTGATAGAGCAAGGGAAGTATGTGTGTGTGTGTACGTGTGTGTGTGTGTGTGTGTGTAAGGAGAATATTTCTCAGTTACATATTGATGATGTTGTACACGTGTACCAAGGGCTTCATATTTCATTGTTTTCCATTTCATGGGTTTTCAAAGAAAACTGTACCATTTAATGCTCCTCGGTTCTTTCATTTTAATGCTCATGATAAAAACATATCCTGGCCAAGCTCAGTTATTATTCCCTTATCTTCTTTCCTTAAATGTCATTTCATTTTAAGTTACAATATCCAAAAATCTTCTAACAACATTAACTGAGGATTTACTGTACTTCTTAAAACATTTTTAAACAAAGAATGACATTCTTGTTATCAAAAGTGAAGAATAAGTTGCCAAAAAAGAAACTTTCCTGCTTACCCAACAGCAAGAGTAAAAAAGCCCATATTCAAACCCAGCCTCACTGGACTCAAAAATGTCCCCTTCATTCCCTAGTTCAATCCATGTCTAGTAGCAGATCCTCTTTCAGTGAGGTCTCACTTGTCTGGCAATTATTAACTACAACCAAATCTTTATGGGAATATAGGTGGACATCTGACATCAGCCAAAAATGATTAAGCAGACAGCATGGTACAAACAGCAAAAGTGATGAAGTCTGATCACTCTTGTGTCACAAGTACTAATAGTCTTAAACATTCCCTATTTTCCTCAATGCATCCTAATACATATAGCACTATAGCACTGTCCCACTGTCATCCTGTTGTTCATCGATTTGCTTGAGTGGGCACTAGCAATGTCTCCATTGTGAGACTTGTTGTTACTGTTTTTGGCATATTGAATATGCCACGGGGAGCTTGCCAGGCTCTGCCGTATGGGCGGGATACTCTTGGTAGCTTTCTGGGCTCTCCTGAGAGGAATGGAGGAATCAAACCTGGGTTGGCCACATGCAAGGCAAATACCCTATCCACTGTACTATCACTCCAGCCTACGAAATACATGAGCTCCAGCTCACGAAATACACATAAAAGAAAATAAATGGTAAACTCACTACCCAGACTTGAGAGACTTTATATATGAACTCAGATCATAGAAAACTGGAGAACGAACAATGCAAAGCATCTTAAAGTAACTTACATCAAAACTCAATGAAATATTTAGGTTCATAATGGCTACGGTAGTTTATTACTTAATACTGCTCGTCAAGAAAACACCAGGCTCTGTGTTCCCTAAACCTTTCCTTCACCCCACAAAATGTGTGATCTGTTTCACTGTAAGAATGGATGGTTATTATAAATAAATTGCTCTAAAATGAATTTGAGCTGCACTTTGCCTAGATCAAGTTTGTTACATGAGTAGCCTCAATTTCCCAACCTGCAATTTTTAAATCCCTATTTATTTTCAATTTCTAAGTATTTTTTGAAAATTTCCATTTTTATCTCTACTGGGGGCTGGAGCAATAACACAGCGGGTGGGGCGTTTGCCTTGCACGCAGCCAACATAGCTGATTTGAGTTCGAATCCTCCGCCTCCCTCGGAGAGTATCTCGCCCACAAGACAGAGCCTGGCAAGCTCCCCGTGATGTATTTGATATGTCAAACACAGTAACAAGTCACAATGTTACTGGGCCCCCTCGATGAACAATGGGACGACAGTGACTGTGATCTCTACTAGGGCAGAATTTTAATTTTAAGCAAGAAGATGAGTTTGGGATGAAACATGAAAAGTAGTATATGCTTACTATCTAAAAAATGATTTCATATAAATGAGTAATTCTTACTTTTTAACAAGTCAGACTGTTTCATTCTTAAAAGGATCCAGAAAGAAATTTATTTAACTAATGGAAATCAAAGTTACCCTTGTAAAGAATCACTTTCTCAAGGCTTCTCTCCAGAATAATAAACAATGCTACTCCAGAATAATAAACAATGCTACAGCTTTGATCATCCTTGGTGCAGATGTGCTGAGGTCCCTGGGTCTCAGCCTACATTCCGTTTTCCTTCTAAGTATCTGGTGACAGCTGAAGTCATGATTTTAGATTATCTGCAGATCATCTGTACTTTGGGCCGGAGCATATTGGGTAGGGTGTTTGCCTTGCACACAGCCGACCTGAGTTTGATTCTTCCATTCCTCTCAGACAGCCCGGCAAACTACTGAGAGTATTCTGCCCACACAGAAAAGCCTGGCAAGCTCCCTGTGGCGTATTCGATGTGCCAAACACAGAAACAACAGGTCTCACAATGGAAACGTTACTGGTGCCCACTTGAGAAAAGTGATGAACAATGGGAGGACAGTGACAGTGAGTGACATCTCTACTTTGCCAAGTCCCTATGATTATGAGGCTCCCAGAGGACTAAGAATGGCCGAGGCGCAAGGCTAGTGGCTATCCTTTAAGGCATAGGATTGTAGAGATTTCAAAGTAGATTCATCAGAGCCAACATCCGGGCTAAGGGGACATCCAGGTTAAGGGGTGGAAGGAGAGGAGGGGGGCGTATACACAGAATCTCTCTCAATCTGTGCCCAGCTCTGGCAGCACTAGAAAGCCTAGGGGAGACAGAGCTATGGTTTGGTGGCAAGCTGTCCTTATGGCAATAGTCTCTGATTACAGTCAGAAAGTACTGGACTTTCTAGTTATGGCTGTGTGACACTAGTGGGGAAAAGGCTGAGGGATGGGTGTGAAGACTCTTGACTTTGAATTTGGGCAGATGAATGGAATATTCTCTTTATAAAGTGGGCTGGAACAATCACTGATGAATGGAATATTCTCTTTAGAAAGTGGCCTGGAACAATCACTTGATGAATTTACAGCTCCCTGGAAAACAGTAAGCGGAAAACAGTGAAGTGGCATTCAGCCTTACTTGACTTTGTGATAGTAAAAAATATAAAAGTACCCAGCAAATGGGACCTGAACAATGTGGGTAAGACATTTGCCTTGCACATGGCCAATCTGGGTTCAATCCCTTAAACCCTACCAGAAATGATCTCTGAGCACAGTGCCAGGAGTAAATCCTGAGCACCACCAATTGAAACCCCCCAAAGAGCACCCAGTACTGGGCCAAAAAAAATAGTGGATAAGGTATTTGCCTTTCATATAGCCACCCATGTTCATTCCCCATATGGTCCCCAAATACTTCCAGGAGTGATGATTTTTGAGTGCAGAAGCTGGAGTAAGTATCAATGGCTCTGATAACAAATTAAAAAAAAAAAACAAAACAAAGTAAGCATCCTGCACAATTCCTGGCATAGGACAGCTGCAAAATAAAATTATTAAAGCAATGTGGCTATCTGATGTTTATCTTTTTAAGCAATAAATGTCTTACCATCATAAGAGTGAGGATAAAAACCAAAACCACTGGAGACAGATTCTTATTTTTCTTTTTATAATCAAGTTTGTCTAAGTGGGATCTCTGGAGAACATTGGTGCCAGATAAAATGCCAAAAACAGCGGTATGGAATGGGAGACTGCTGATGCTCTCTAAGGAGCAAAATTGAAGTAAAGCTTGTGTGAGACAACACAGTGGAGGGCCAGCCACAACTCTCCACATTGGGGCTCAGTACTGTGCATAGAGTAATAAGCTGTGCGTTGTATTCTGTCGCCAGGCAGCTCTATGAGAGTAGAATATGTCTGTGATCCCAAAAATGACTATTCCTGTGAGTATAAGTTTGTTATATAAAATATAGAAAAGACAAAAATCAATAAAATAGGTGTATGAGGATCCACCAACTGGATTCCATGGGACATCAAAAGAATGCATGGCCGCCCACCTACAAGATGGTCAGACTTCTTCATCAAAATCCTGAATGAATGGTTTGAGGCTCTTCGTGTCCCTGGAGTGAGCAGATGCCAGTGGGCTACACTAGCACGGGACAGGGATGGATGGAGACATTACTGGCGGCCACTCAACCAAATCAATGATCAAAAGGATGACAAGTGACAAGTGACAAGTGATGAAGATCCAAGTATTTGACTATACATCTATCCAAAACCAGACTTCCAGATATGACTCACAAACTGATTCTGAATCTAACATGAAGGAACCTAAACTTATTTGGCATACTGTCCTCTTTTCAGAATAAAACAAACATAATCACTTAGTGCCACCTTGGATATTTACCTTAAGTGAACAAACAGAAAGTGTCTCCAGTTTACACCTGAAGTTGCCAACTCCAGGACCATTACAGTACTACCGAGAATGATCAGAACTACCTGGGGGTGGGGTGGCGTGATATGATATTGCCTGCTTTGGGTAAATGTATCAGTTTCTAATAGACAAAACCTATCTTGAAATACACAAAAACTGATCCAACAGGAAAAAAAACCATATATACAGCACAGAAGTAGAGACTTATGTTTTTCCTACAGCTCTCCTTGATATTGCAGCTCTCCTTGATCACAAGATTTCCCTGTGCTGGGCACTGTGTTAATTACTTTACTTATGCTGGTTACTAATTTGGACAAGCCTTGAAAGCTATTATTCCTCCTATTCTATAGCTGAGAAAACAAAGGTTTGGTGAAATTACCAATGGGCTCACAGTTACAGTCTTTGAAAAGACAACTATGGCTCCAACCCATGTGGCTAGACTCCAAGAGACGTGCTTCTTAAAATAAGTGCTACAACAAGTGGTGCTCAGGGAGCCTGGGGTGGTGGAACAGTGAGGTTCCTGATCATTTATGCTTGGGCCCTGAGAGATGTCTTTGAGGCATTCAATCCACTGGTTCTCTGGGGCCAC